AAACCGATTACAGCAATACATCAAAAAGATTATACACCATGATCAAGTGGGATTTATACCAGGGACACAGGGATGGTTCAACATCCGCAAGTCAATCAACGTGATACACTACATCAACAAAATGAAAACCAAAAACCACATGATCATCTCAATAGATGCAGAGAAAGCATTCGACAAGATCCAACACCCATTTATGATAAAAACCCTCAGTAAAATGGGTATAGAAGGAAAGTACCTCAGCATAATAAAGGCCATATATGATAGACCCACAGCCAACATCATACTCAATGGACAAAAGCTGAAAGCCATCCCTCTGAGGACAGGAACAAGACAAGGGTGCCCACTTTCACCACTCCTATTCAACATAGTTCTGGAGGTGCTGGCCAGAGCAATTCGGCAGGAAAAAGAAATAAAAGGAATCCAAATAGGTAACGAAGAAGTAAAACTCTCGTTGTTTGCAGACGACATGATTCTATGCATAGAAAACCCCAAAGAATCCACAGAAAAACTATTAGAAATAATCAACAACTACAGCAAAGTAGCAGGGGTATAAAATTAACGTGCATAAATCAGTAGCATTTCTATACACTAACAATAAACTAACAGAAAAAGAACTCAAGAACTCTATCCCATTCACAATCGCAACGAAAAGAATAAAATACCTTGGGATAAACTTAACCAAGGAAGTGAAGGATCTATACAATGAAAACTACAAGACTTTCTTGAAAGAAATAGGCGATGACATAAAGAGATGGAAAAACATTCCTTGCACATGGATTGGAAGAATAAACATAGTTAAAATGTCCATACTACCTAAAGCAATATACAGATTCAATGCTATCCCAATCAGAATCCCAAGAACATTCTTCACAGAAATTGAACAAACAATCCTAAAATTCATATGGGGCAACAAAAGACCGCGAATTGCTAAAGCAATCCTGAGCAAGAAAAACAAAGCCGGCGGAATCACAATCCCCGATTTCAAAACATACTACAAAGCTACAGTGATCAAAACAGCATGGTACTGGTACAAAAACAGGTCCACAGATCAATGGAACAGAATTGAAAGCCCAGAGATAAAACCACACATCTATGGACAGCTAATCTTCGACAAAGGAGCAGAGGGCCTACAATGGAGAAAAGAAAGTCTCTTCAACAAATGGTGCTGGGAAAACTGGACAGCCACATGCAAAAGATTGAAAATTGACCATTCTTTTTCACCACACACCAAAATAAACTCAAAATGGATCAAAGACCTAAAGATTAGGCCTGAGACAATAAGTCTTTTGGAAGAGAATATAGGCAGTACACTCTTTGACATCAGTTTCAAAAGAATCTTTTCGGACACTGTAACTCCTCAGTTGAGGGAAACAATAGAAAGAATAAACAAATGGGACTTCATCAGACTAAAGAGCTTCTTCAAGGCAAGGGAAAACAGGATTGAAACAAAAAAACAGCTCACTAATTGGGAAAAAATATTTACAAGCCACTTATCCGACAAAGGGTTAATCTCCATAATATACAAAGAACTCACACTGCTTAACAACAAAAAAACAAACAACCCGATCAAAAAATGGGCAGAGGACATGAACAGACATTTCTCAAAAGAAGATATGAATATGGCCAATAGACACATGAAAAGATGTTCATCATCGCTAATCATCAGGGAAATGCAAATCAAAACTACACTAAGATATCACCTTACCCCCGTTAGATTGGCAAAAACATCCAAAACCAAGAACGACAAATGTTGGAGAGGTTGTGGAGAAAGAGGAACCCTCATACACTGTTGGTGGGAATGCAAACTGGTACAGCCACTATGGAAAACAGTATGGAGATTTCTCAAAAAGTTAAAAATAGAAATACCCTATGACCCAGCCATCCCATTACTGGGTATCTATCCTAAGAACCTGATATCAGATATCTCAAGAGTCCGTTGCACCCCTATGTTCATCGCAGCATTATTTACAATAGCCAAGACGTGGAACCAGCCTACATGCCCAGAAACTGATGATTGGATAAAGAAGATGTGGTATATATACACAATGGAATACTACTCAGCCATAAAAAAAGACGAAATTGGCCCATTCACAACAATGTGGATGGACCTCGAGGGCATTATGTTAAGCGAAATAAGTCAGTCAGAGAAAGACGAACTCTATATGACTCCACTCATAGGTGGAAATTAGCATATTGAGAAGGAGATCTGATCGGTGGTTACCAGGGAAAAGGGGGGGTGGGGGGAGGGTACGGAGGGGGAAGTGGTGTACCCACAACATGACTAACAAAAATGTACAACTGAAATCTCACAAGGTTGTAATCTATCATAACATTAATAAAAAAAAAAAAAAGAAGTTATAGCAGGATTGAGTAAAGTATGTCTTTAAGATATTTAAATTCATATGAGATAGTCAACACATTAGTACGTGGATTTCACACCACCAATTACATATTATTTTCCTACTAAATTGAAAGAAATTTCCCCTCTAGTAACAAATCCCAAAGGAAACATCTAGCAGTGAGTACAGACTGTATTTTAACCTCTCCTTTTTTCACATTGCAAGTCTCAGAAATATAGAAGAAACTTTATATACTGATGGTACTGTATGGGTTAATCCATTGAGAAAATCTATGAAAGATATATAACGCACATCTGATCATCTGCAGTATTTCCAAAAGCCAATGTTTATTATATTCCTATAATTAAAAAAATGCAGTAATCTCAAAAGATATTGTAGAAGAATATTTTATTACATGGAAATATGGTCACAATATGTTGCACAATAAAAGCAGCTTATAAAAAGTATTAATGTATTATTTTATTTGTTTTAAAATGCATATACCTACAGAGAAAAAGACTGCAAAGATATATAATATACATAAAACATTAAAGAGTGAATATATCTGCATGATTTTAATTATTTATCTTTTTGTTTCTCTGAATTTTCCAAATTTTCTGTAATAAACAAGAAGTGTTTTGTTTTTTGGGTTTTCTAACAAAAAAAAAGGTAAGGTAAACATCTTTGTTCATAAAGATGTTTACATTTGTTAGTTACTTTCTTGTTTTTGGGTTTTTTTGGGGGGGGTTATTTGAGTTCATAATAGTTTATATCATTGTGAAATTTCAGTTGTACATTATTTTTTGTCTGTTACCACACAGGTGCTCCCCTTCACCCCCTGTGCCCACCCTCCACCCCACTACCCCTCGTAACCACTGAACTGTTTTCTTTGTCCATGTGCTTGTTTATATGCCACATAAGAGTGAAATCATCTGGTGTTTATATTTCTAGTCTGGCTTATTTCGCTAAGCCTAATTCCCTCCAGGTCTTTCCATGTTGTTGCAAATGGAATGAATTTGTCTTTTTTTCTAGCTGAGGAGTATTCCATTGTATATATACAACACTTCTTTATCCAATCATCGGTCGATGGGCACTCAGATAGTTTCCATGTCTTGCCTATTGTGAATAGTGCTGCGATGAACATAGGGGTAGGGGTACATATGTTACTTTGGATTGTTGATTTCAAGTTGTTTGAGTAGATACCCGGTAGTGGGATAACTGAGTCATATGGTAGTTCTATTGTTAGTTTCTTGAGGCATCTCCATACTGTTTTCCATAGTGGCTGCACCAGTTTGCATTCCGACCAGCAGTGTATGAGGGTTCCCTTCTCTCCACACCCTCTCCAACATTTATTATTTTTAGTCTTAGTGATTGTAGCCATTTTAACAGGCATTAGGTGGTAACTTAGTGTAGTTTTGATTTGCATTTCCCTGATGATTAGTGATGTTGAACATCTTTTCGTGTGTTTATTGGCCATCTGTATATCTTCTTTGGAAAAATGTCTGTTCATATCTCCTGCCCATTTTTTGATTGGGCTGTTTTTTGTTGTTCAGTTGTGTGAGTTCCTTACATATTATGGAGACTAACCCCTTATGGGATATATGATTTGCAAAAATTTTCTCCCAATTGGTGGGTTGTCTTTTGGTTTTGATCCTAGTTTCTTCCACCTTGCAGAAGCTCATTAGTCTGATGAACTCCCACTTGTTTATTTTTTCTTTTGTTTCCCTTGTCTGAGAAGACATGGTATTTGAAAAGATCCTTTGAAGTTCGATGTCAAAGAGTGTACTACCTATATTATCCTCCAGGAGTTTTATGGTTTCAGGACTTATCTTCCAGCCTTTGATCCATTTTGAGTTTATTTTTGTGTATGGTGTGAGATAATGGTCTACTTTCATTCTTTTGCATGTGGCTGTCCAGTTTTCCCAAAACCATTTATTGAAGAGACTGTCTTTTCTCTATTGTATGTTCTTGGCACCTTTGTCGAAGATCAGCTGTCCGTAATATGCGTGGTTTTATTTCAGGGCTTTCAGTTCTGTTCCATTGATCTGTGTGCCTGTTTTTGTACCAGTATCATGCTGTTTTCAGGGTTCTTTTTTAAAGCCAGGCCTGGTGGTCTGGTGGGTAAGATTCAGTGCTCTCACTACTATGGCCCAGGGTTCGTTTCCTGGTCAGGGAACCACACCACCCATCTGTCAGTTGTCATACTGTGGTGGCTGCGTGTTGCTGTGATGCTGAAAGCTATGCCACCGGTATTTCAAATACCAGCAGGGTCACCCATGGTAGACCTGTCTCAGCAGAGCTTCCAGACTAAGAAAGACTAGGAGGAATGACCTTGTCACCCAAATTTTTCCAAAAAAATTGGCCACGAAAACCCTATGAATAGAAGCAGAGCATTGTCTGATATAGAGTCAAAGATGAGAAGATGGGGCAAAAAAAGTGGGCGGGGTTCAGCTCTGCTGTACACAAGGTCGCTAGGAGTTGGAATCAACTTGATAGCACTAACAAGTGTTTTTTAATACGGAAAAGCAATAAAAAGTTATTGTTTCAAAGTGTAACAACAAACAAAAGGGTCCTACTTCCCAGGATGGATTATCTTTGCTTTCTATTTAAATCTGAGTGTGCCTTCCTTACAAGGTATAGTCACAGTCTAATAGCACTCACCTGTCCAACTGCTTGCAGGTTATAGCAGACAATGTCCTTATTGACTACGGAAGTTCCATAGAGAAGTGCCTCAATGAGCCAGCATATCCCCAGGAGGAGGTCAGAGAAGCTCAGATAAAAGAGTGGCCTTATCTGTCAAAGCAACAAAAGCCTCATTTCATAAATGACTAAAGCCAGGAGAACGTAACAATCAATAATCTTTACGCTTTACCTTTCTAGTAGAAAACTGGGCATCATTTTTCTGGGGTCTCTGCTACTGGTTGACTGTGTGGAATGTAAAGGAATACTCCAGGTAGGAAGGAATCTGTAATCACAACTATCCCAACTGTCCTAGAATCAGAGTACTCATGGATGGATTCGCATTGGAGCATCTCCCTCATAGAGACATTCTTTCCGCAGTTATAGAGTCAAAGGAAAGAATAGACAGATGAGAAATTTTGTGATGGAGACAAACACAAATGAAAAATTGAAAGTGCTCTAGTTGCACAGCCAATATATTCTAAAAATAGGAAATGAGATCATCTGTTAAGTGTTCAGGAATACGGTTGAGGACTTACAGAAAATGAAAACAGAGTTTTAAAAACCTTAATATAGTTTAATTTGCATTTTTCTTTATTGAGGTATAAATGACAAAACTGTAAGATATTTAAAGTGTACAATGTGATGATTCGGTATATATATACACATTGTGAAGAGATGTCCCCCGAGTGTTAATTAACACATCCATCACCTCACATATTTACTTTTTTTTTTTTTGGTGAGAACATTTAAGTTCTACTCTCTTAGCAAATTTCAATTATACAATACAGTGTTATCAATTATAGTCACCATGTCATACATTAGATCCTCAGACCTCATTCATCTTATAACAGATTTCCATATCGATGAAAAGTCAGAGTGGGGAAAAATATCAGTATGAATTGTATATACTGTCTTTCAATTTCTGACCACATTGGTGAAGTCTGTCTTTCTCACTTTCTGTCTTTCTCCTTTTGGCCTCCCCATTCCTACTTTTCTAAAAACAGTTTTGGTCCTTCTATAGAGAAAACGATAAGATGTTTATTGAGAGACACCAAAGAAGATCTACAGTGAAGAACTATATCATGCTTATGGATCGTAAGACACAATATTATGAAAACATCAGTTCTCCCTAAATTGATAAATGCAGTATCAGTTATATCTCAACACATTTTCTTGCGGAATCTGACAATTTCACAATTTGACAAGTTGACTCTAATACACAAATAGAAATACAAAATCTCAAGATAACTAAGACATTCTTGAAGAAAAAGGAGAAGGAGGACTCGCCCTACACATATCAAAACCTAATACAAAGCTAGACTACAGATACTGTACTACTAGCACAGAGATGGACAAATACTAATGGCACAGAATAGAGAGTCGAAAAAAACCTAAGCATATAAACAGACTTTTGAAATATGACACAGGTGGCTTTTTAGATCAATGGAGAAAGGATAATCTTTTCAAAATATGATGCATTAATAACTGGGTATCTATATGGATAAAAATAAAATTGGACCCCTACTTTCTACCTCACACATTCAAAAATCAGTTCCAACTGGTTTAAAGATCTAAATGTGAAAGGCAAGAACTTTAAAGACTTTTTCTAAATGATACAGGAGAATGTCTTCAACTTCTGGCTAGGGAAAGTTTTCCTAAACAAAACACAAAAAACTCTAAAAGAAATAACTGAAAAATGTGACCACATTAAAATGAAAAATTATTGTGTCCATAAACCAAGTGAAACAACATGCCACAAAATGGGAGAGATATTTGCAACACATGTAACTGACAAAGGACCAGTATCCAAATAGATTAAAAACAAAAACAAGAGCCGGCCCTGATTGCCTAGTGGTTATGTTTGGCATGCTCTGCTTTGGTGGCCTGGGTTTGGTTCCCGGGTGTGGACCTACACCACTTGCCTATCAGTAGCTGTGCTCTGGTGGCAGCTCACATATAAGAACTAGGAGGACTTGCAACTAGAATATACAACTATGTACTAGGGCTTTGGGAAGGAAAAAAAAAAAGAGAGGAAGATTGGCAACCGATGTTAGCTCAGGGTGAATCTTTCCCAGCAAAAAAAAACCTCTAACAAAGAAATAAGAAAACACAACAGAAAAATGGGGGCAAAAGATTTGAACAGGTACTTAAGAGGAAATCCAAACAGCCATAAATATATGAAAATATGCCTGGCCTCATTAGTAATCAAGGAAATGAAAATTAAAACCACAATGAGAAAAAAATAATACATCCATGGCAAAAATTTTTTAAATCTGACAATATCAAGTATTAACGGGAACATGAAACAATGGGACCTTTCATACACTGCTGGCACAACCATTTGGAAAAAGTTTGGCATTATCTGGGAGATATGCACATTCATATATGCACGCATATAACAATTCTGTTATTAAGCAAATACACTAGAGAAATTTTTGCACGTGTGCACCAGAAGACATGTACAAGATTATTTATAGCACAGATAAGTTGTGGTACATTCATAATATAGAATGCTAAACATCAACGAAAATGAAATAAACCAGAGCTATACACAACAACATGGACAAATCTTACAAATAACATTGAGGGAAAAAAGCAAATCACAAAACAACACACATAGTATTATTCCACTTATGTCAGGTTCAAAAACAAGCAAAACTAAATTGTTTAGAGATACACACATTACTGTTAAACTGTACATAAAAGCAAAGAAATGATTATCACAAAAATCTGGACAGCGGTTACCTATAGAGGGGGGAAAGTTGTGAATGGGAAGGAGCACACGAAGTATATTTTGGGGTATGGGTAATTTCTATTTCTTGTCCCTGGGGCTTGTTTATAATTATTCTGTAAACAGTACATACATGTTTTTTGCATTCTAATCTATGTCTGATATATCTCACAATAAAAAGTAAATTTAAAAAATTTTAAGTTATCATCAGATACTACCTAATACAAGAAGTAATCTCACTTGTATAAAGAGAATTTTTCTTATACTTTTCTTCTAAATGAGAGGCAAGTTAAGATGCTAATACTTTGCTAATAGGGGTAAATCATCAAGTTGCCTTGGCTAACAAAAACAAGTGAAATAATAACATTTTAAACTGTATTTAATAAATATCAGATATTATTACCATTATTTTAACAATATATAGCCTTTGCTCTGGCAGGCCTACTAAAATTCCAACCAGATGGCACATTCACAGATTATACTGGCCTATGACCTACTACAAGTTTATAATTGTTAATGGGTAAGAAATTAAAACTGAATACAAAATAAACTCTGGAGGAGAAAGGTAGCCAAGAGGCTTTTGTGAGCAAGCCTTATATATAGGGAGCTGTTGGCCATTAAAACATACCTAAAATCTTAGGAGAGAAATGGAGGATAAAAAGAGGTTTATATACTTTCACTCGTGGTTGGAAAAACAGGAGTTCTAACAAAAGGAGATAAAATGAATCAATTAGACGACAAAAAGTAACTGAGTACCTATTATTGAAATCAAGAAAGATTTTCCCCTTCTTATGTTTAACAACATATTATGCTGAAAGTAATACAAAGAAATGTATGATGCAGCCCATGCTTTAAGGAAAATACAATCAGCACAGTGTTTGGTAACAAGGAAGAAGTGAAAAAGCATAAGACATGGTCTTAAATATGAAAGCAAAAACTCTTTAAAGAAAACCCCATATATATACACTTGCACTTGTCTAATTTAAATCAAGCGCAGAATAAGCAGGGTGGGGTGGGGGGTGCATTGTGTGAAAAGCTCTCCTCAGGGAAGTTCTGGGTCCAGGTCTGTCCTGGTGAGGTGAAAGACCTAAAATAACCTGTATTAACATTCTTCTAAAACCCTGCTTCCCAATATTTCTATGCAAGTGAAATCAAATTACAAAGAACATCAAAAGTAACCTTTACAGGGAAATGAAGCCACACAAGTACAGTGAAGTATATCTGCCTTGAGGTTTTTTAACACTGGCTAGCCTGAGCCACTTTCTTCTCTCTTTAGGTTGCCTCTCGGAGTCACTGTCTGATCAGCAAAGGTTTCCCATGGACTTCTCTAATTTACTACAATTATTTTTAATCTAATAGACTATTTCTATGTTTTTTAGATTATGCCTTCCATGTGTTTTTGCTGTTAAAAATGTTCTTTGATAAAGAAATAAAGGAAAGCAGCAGAGAAAAGCTGACATTTTCAACCTGGAAAAATCGGAATTTTTTTCTAGGCAAAAAACAGAATGTGAGGGAACCACTGAACCTGTGATTGCTAAGGTCCTTTAGGCTCTGGTTACAAGAAAGGTATGAGAACTGAAGCCAGAGAAATCAAAGGTCACAACCTAAGCCAAACTAGACCCCACATCCTTATAAAGTTCTAAACCACTGTCATGCCAGAGGTCACCTTAGAGCAGTGGTTCTCAACCAGAAGGGATCCCCCCCTCCACCCCGCCAGGAAACATCTAGCAATATTTCAAGACAGTTTTGGTTGTCACAACTGTTTGTGCGGCAGGGGGCGAGGGCAGTGGTGCTACAAGCATCTGGTGGGTAAAGTCTGCTAAACATCCTAATATGCAGGACAGCCACCCACAACAAATAATCATCTAGTCCAAAAGGTCAATAGTACCGAGACTGAGAATCTTTGCTTAGCTCTCTCCACCATGCAACGCATCCCTTATTAACTTAATCACATCTGACTCAAATTTCAGCAAAGGAAACAAACATCAGGGAAATCTGAATCACCAGAAGATGTGTGGCCTAAGAAACTTCAGCAGGCAGTGAAAACACAGTGTCAAGACTTCTACTTTCTAGTTTCACTTTCATAGTCACATTATACCTCTGAAATTCAAAATTCTCTTCTCATTAGGCAGTATATTTCAGTGGTTTAAAAAGTGTATGTAGGGAGAGGCTTTGGAACAAGACAACTCCTGCACTCAAATTCTAGCTCTAACACTTACCAACTACAAAACCTTAGGAAAGTCCCTCAACCTTACTCGAATTCCATTTCCTCATCTATAATATCAGACTAATAATATCTGCCTCACAGAGTTGCTTTAAGGATTAAATGAAAAATGTAGTTAAAACGTTGAGCACATGTGTCTCAAATATAATAAATACTAAAAATTATGTATAATTTGAAGGGGGATTGTAGCTAAGAGTTGGATTTAAAAAATCCCTGCTCTGCTACTCATTGTGTAACTTGAACAAGTTATTTCAAGACTTTGAGCCTCAATTTCCTCATCTGTGAAATGGGGCTAAGAGCATCCTTCTCATAGGAGAGTGATGAGGACCCGTAACATAAAGTATGTAAAGCACTCAGCATAGTTGGAACATGGTAAGTGTTCAACATACAGAGCTATTTTTATTATTAAAGCAGGACCAATAAAACCCCATGACATTTACCACATATAAAAGCCTTCCTATACATGTCCTGAACTACGTTTGCCTAATTTTGTGCCTGGTTAGAGAAACAGTTGTTACATTTCTCTTAAAGTCTTTACTGAGCTAGCAAATATATCACTCTTCCTGGTCCTCTCTGAATCAGGAAAGGTTATTTGTTTGTTTTTTTGTTTTTTTGTTGCTGAAGAAGATTCACCCTGACCTAACATCTGTGCCAACCTTCCTCTATTTTGTATGTGGGTCGCTGCCACAGCATGGCCGCTGACGAGTGGAACCAAACACAGGTCGTCAAAGTGGAGCACACAGAACTTAACCACTAGTTCATGGGGCCAGGCCCTTAGGGTTTTTTTAAATACCTTAAATATATACAATTTTTATTTGTCAATTATACACCTCAATAAAAGAAAAGTTTTTGACTTGATCTTTTTGGTATGAGCAGTTTTACATAGGATGTAGGATGTTTATTTTTGCTATTTTCACTGTTAAATTATAATTGCCTAGAAGGCCAGAACAGCAAAACAAATATCTTTTGTGTATCAAAGTCTTTGAACTATTTCCTAACTCCACTAGCAATTTAACCAAGATCTCAACATCAAAAAACTCACCTCTAGGCAGGGCTCTATCATGCTTACATTGAATACAGGCTTCAAACAACCACTCTGTTTCCTTAACTCGAATAATTAATGCATATCAAAAAAAATCACACTAGTAGTCAATCTCTCAGTATTCAAAGTTAGTTAAAATAATTACCTAAAAGAAAAGGGAGACCTATTGACAGTCTCTAAAATATCTCAATGTATCATAATGACAAATTCACAAGTAATTCATAGGATTTTTCTATCATTTATAGGTGACACCTCTCATTTCTTTCAAAGACTAAGTCATTAAAAGTTCAAATCCAACACAAAAAGAGATTGCTCACCTCTGGAGATTTCTGTATATTCTGGAAGACAATATAGGCAATAAGTGAACTTGAACCTATAACACTGACAGAGATAAAAAATGATCATTAAAACAGGACAATTGGGGCTTCTTCATCTTTGCTTTTGATTTTTTCTCAGCTTTATTGACATATAATTGATGTAAAATAAATTGCACATATTTTTTAAAAACATGGAATGTTTCATGAATTTGTGTGTCATTCTTCTGCAGGGGCCATGCTAATCTTCTCTGTATCATTCCAACTTTTAATATATGTGTTGCCAAACTGAGCACTTTGTTACTGATTTTGCAAATCAATCCTGTTAATAAAGTTGTCCTTTGATTTTCAGATGTCACCCCTCAATCTGTTTTTTGTTGTTATTGTTGTTACATTTCATTAATCAGAAAATATCAACATGGTAAAGAATAGCATTCCCCATAACTATAGAATAAAAGCAAATCTCCAGGGGAAAAAAAATGTAGAAAACTTCAGAATTCTCCAGCTTTGCTTATACTGATTTAAACAGTCATATTACATAAGATTAAATAAACTTACCTCAGAGTAGCCATAACAAATTGTATCCACTGTATTGCAGAAAAGACCTAAATAAAACAAGTGAGAATAAAATTAAGGCTTTTACATTTACTATTCAACCTTAATCCAATTTCACTGCTTATTAACTATCTGTGCAGAGAACAAACTCGTCTTCAGTGCCTAATCAAAATACACTACAAGTCTGAGAATGAGCAGAAAGGCTGAATAGGCACTTAGAAAGGCAGGGTGGCTCATTTTTTCTGCCATTACTGCTACATCTCTGGGAAATAGTAAGGTAAAAAGAATAGAGAGGTGGATAGAAAACAACTGAATAAAAAAAGAGAGTTGGATGAGAAAATTAATAAAGAGAAGAATAAAATGGAGAAGAGGTAGGAAAAGTTAAGTGCCGAGAGAGAACAGACAGATGTGTGGAAAGAAGGGGTAACACAACAGGCAAATACTAAACAGAGTTGACAGAGAAAAAATAAAATAGTAAGCACTGGAGAAACAGGAAGAAGAAAAGTTAATAGTATGGAGAGAGAGACTGTGTGTGGTGAGTGAAAAATAAAGAACAGGGAGGAAAAAAAAGGGGAGAAAAAAAAAGAGAAAGACAGGTTCTAATCTCACCGAGTCCCAACTGTCCTCCAGAATGCTAGCCTCCAGCAGGAAGGCCATAGGGACTTCAGCCCCTGCTATGCTTAAGTAGCCCGATCCTTCCAGGTCTGGTTTGGAATTCTGAAGCAGTGAACAGGTGGCTCCACCCCTAGCCCAGCTGGGCTCCTTCCTACCCAATCCTGCCCTGTATCTTGAGGGCAAGGAGAGAAGCTGGCAACAAGTGCAGGAGAAAGCCAAGCAGAAAGAACAAAAATAGAAAAAGCAGGTGACAAGGAAACAAAGTTCTAAAAAGCATTAGGAATTGTAAGAAAGGGCAAGAGGCACGAATAATAAAAAGTAGAGAGAACGAGTCACAGTGAAAAGATAAACAGAACTGCAAGAGAGAAATGGAAAGGGAAAAAGGGAGAGAAAAATCAGGAAGAAGGGAGGTCTGCTTAAAACTTGCTCCTGTCGGAGCCGGCCCGGTGGCGCAGCGGTTGGATTCACATGTTCTGCTTCTCAGCGGCCTGGGGTTCACTGGTTCGGATCCTGGGTGTGGACATGGCACTTTTTGGCACACCATGCTGTGGTGGGCGTCCCATGTATAGGGTGGAGGAGGATGGGCACGGATGTTGGCTCGGGGCCGGGCTTCCTGGGCAAGGGGAGGAGGACTGGCAGTAGTTAGCTCAGGGCTAACCTTCCTCAAAAAAAACCAAAAAAACAAAAAACTTGCTCCTGTTTAGGGACAGAAGCCTGTGACAGAAAAGAGAGATTGCATATTCACTCAAATCAATAAATTTTTAGTAACACCAAGAGAAAGCTTCAAAGAGAAGGGGTATTAATGTCTCATATTTATGTAACACTAACATTTTCTTAAATATTCTGTGCCAGAAATTCCCACCAGAAATATATTATTAAATTACATGATTCATTTAATATCCCTTTGTTTACCAACTTTTGTGTAAAGTACTGTGTAATGGAAGATACAAAGACAAATAAGACACGGACCTAGACTTCCAGGAGCTTATAATATAGGAGGAAAAATGGCTTGAATACCAAAATCCCAAATGATCTGCACATAAAAATAACATACACTGATTGCCATTTGAACAGTATGTGGAAGAACTGGTAAAATTTGGACAAAGACTGAGGGAAAGAGAAAGCAGAAGGAAGAACATTTCATTTATGTAACCATTTATTTTTTATCTAACCATAATTTCATACATTCTACAAATATTTATTGATAACATTAATTAGATCATCTGCATGGCTTGAGTAATTTATATATATGACATTTATTCATATGAGGTTAAGAATATAGTGTGAAGTAGAAGACGGGACATTGTTAAATGGAGGTAGGCTCCGATCATTTTGCCTAAATTAGATATACAAATAAATAAAAATACCAGTAAATTTCTGGATCAAAAATCCCTACCATAAGGTCTTGGGGAGTGTTTTGAGACCTCGAATCATATACCTATCTAAGAAGGGTGAAGGGACTAATGAGAGTCTCACCAGGTGATAAGAGAATGCTCTTGGACAAAGGATCCTTGTCTTAGTCAAGAATAAATCTCAAATTGTTCAGAGAACAGCCATGCCAAAACAGCCTCCTGCTCTTGACAGGAGAACTTTTCTCTTTTGGCATCTTTTCTAAAATGACTTACGCCACCAACCAACATTTGGGGATTTACTTTTCCATTTTTCTCTCTAAATTAGTCCCCTGCCTTCTATATATTCAGCACTGTTCCTCTTCGGAAACATAATCTTCCAATCTTTCTTTTTTACAAGGGTTAACCCAAGCCCAAATGATAAAGGGGTGATATTTATTTTTAGTTTTCTCTTCTCCTCTTTTTACTTAGCTCCTTAGCAAGCTTAAGACACATCCCAGCTCTCACTTAATGTAATGGGCCACTATATATTATATATTAATTTAAGTTAATAGATATTCATTAAACTTCTACCATGAGCAAGTTACTGCAGTGCATACAAAATCAAGAAAGACACCTACCTAGTAAAATATTTTTATTTAAGCAAAAATAATACTAAACTCAAAAAAGATTTCTAGTAATAATAGCTATCAATTATCAAGTGCTTTCTATGTGTAAGGCTCTATGCTAAGCATTTTAATCCTTAACACAACCTTTGAGGTAAGAAGTAGTATTATTCCCATTTTACAGATGAAGAGAAACTGAGACTTAAAGAAGTTAAGTCATTTCTCTACGGTTACAAAGTTATTGAGTGGTAATGCCAACATTCAAACTCAGTCTGACTTCATAGTTCTCACTCTTAACACCTACACTAGTCTAACAAGAAACTGGTTAATGGGAGAACAGAGAAAGATAATTTTACAAATTAATGTGACTTGTCAAGAGAGCTCTTTTATTAAGCAATTGACTCTTAGATATGACAACAAAAGCATAAGCAATAAAAAAAAGAAATTTCTTCAAAATTAAAAACTTCTTCAAATTAAAAACTTTGGTGCTTAAAGGATACCATCAAGAAAGTAAAAAGACAATCCACAGAATGGGAGAAAATACTTGTAAACCATATATCTGATAAGGGACTTGTACATAGAATACATAAAGAACCCCTGCAACTCACTAATGAAAATACAACCCAATTTAAAAATGGGCAAAAGTTTTAAATACAGATTTCTCCCCCAAAATTTACAAATGAATAATAAGCATGTGAAAAGATGATCAATATCATAAGCCACCAAAGAAATACAAATTAAAATCACGAGATGCCATTTCATACCTTCTAGAATGGTTATAATAAAAAAGATAGACAATAGCAAGTGTTGACGAAGATATGGAGAAATAGAAACCCTCATACACTACTGATGAGAATGCAAACTATTGCAGCCACTTTGGTAGTTTCTCAAAACATTAAACATATACCATATGACTCAGATCCTAGATATAAACCCAGTTCTACTCCTAGGTACATATCTGAGAGAAATTAAAACATTGTCCACACAAAAACTTGGACACAAATGTTTATAACAGTGTTATTCATAATAGACAAAAAGTAAAAATAATACAAAGGATCATCAACTGGTGAATGGATAAATAAAATATAGTATATCATACAATGGAATGTTATTCAGCAATTAAACAGAAAGAAGTACTGATACATGCTATAACATGGATGAACTTGAAAACACTATGCTAAATGGAAGAAGCCAGTCATAAAAGACCACATATTGTATGATTCCATTCATATAAAACGTCCAAAATAGGAAAAGTTATAGAGACAGTAGATTAGTGGTTGTATAGGGCTAGGAAGGTAGTTTTGGAGGGAATGGGGAGTGACTGCTAATGAGCACAGGGTTTCTTTTTAGGGTGACAAAAATATTCTAAAATTAGATAGTGGTGATGGTTGCACAACTCTGTGAATCTATTGAAAACCATTGTACTGTACACTTTAAAAGGATGAATTGTATGGTAGGTGAATTACATCTCAATAAAGCTGTTGCCTAAAAAATGAAGTTTGGGACAAAAGCAAGGAAGGAAAGATCCCATTGCTGAAATTCACAGTGTAATGATTAATGGATAACATGCTTCTGTCTTTTCTACTGAAAAGAATAATATTTAGAATAAAAAGTGTAAAATAAACACTGTAAGAGGGAACTGAAGATAAAGATTGTAAGAGAGCACCTGACTGCTCTAAATGAATCCACCACTCCCGGCCGGAACAAATTACATTCCAAGGCTTTGATAAAACTTGCAAGTTAACCCAATAAACCATTGAATGAAATCTTAGAGTTCATGTAAAAATGGGAAAATTGCTAGAAATTGTAGAAAACTGGTGATATCTAAAATATTTTTTTACTTTTATAAGGAGAAAGGATGGTAGAATCTGCAAACCATAAGTCAGAGATATTAGTATCAATCTCAGATCAGATGCTAAAATGAACTATCCAAAAGATGTGTTTTTAAACAATTAGAAAAGAGTAACCACTAAGTCAGCATGGATTTATAAAAAATCATGCCAGACTAACTCCAATCTCTTTTTGGGCAGAATTACTAGACATAGTATATATGGTATTTTGACAAAGAATTTGGTGAGAAATTGCATGATATAAACATAAGGAAATACAGAGCAAGAGGAAGCACAAGGACATTTCTTGCACAAATAAACCTAAGGGAGTACTAATTAATTGATCAATATCAACTTAGGAATGACTTCTAGTGGAGTGAACCAGTATTGTGACTTGGCACTGTTCTCTAAAACACTTTCATTAGTGACTCGAATGAAAATATAATGGGTATATTTATCAAACATGTGTGTTACTTATCTATTTGTGGAAATTTGTTAATTTCCACAAATTCAGTGGCTTCAAACACACATTTACAATCTCACAACTTCTGTGGGTCAGGAGTCCAAGGATAGCTTAGTTGGGTCCTCTGCTTCAATGTCTCTCACAAGACTATAGACAAGATGTCGACCAGGGCTGGGTCTCATCTGAAGG